CAACGACTGGCTCCAAAGAAGCGAGGACATCTGGAGTCAGGCTCACACCCACCTGCTACGTGCGGTCAGGAGACAGAGGTTGCAGGCCAATCGTCACCGTCGCCCCAATCCTGAATATACTCCAGGTCAATGGGTCTGGCTATCCACTCGAGACCTACGCCTCAGACTTCCTTGCAAGAAACTCAGTCCCAGGTATGTAGGTCCCTTCCAAATTGTTAAACAGATTACACCAGTTTCCTTCCGTTTGGCATTACCCTCTAATTATCGTATCTCTCCCACTTTTCATGTATCACTTCTCAAACCCGCTGGTGGTCCGAGAGCGGAGGAGCAGACCAGGGATCAGGGCCCCCCACCCATCTTGGTGGACGGCGAGGAGGCATATCAGGTTCGAGATCTACTCGATTCCAGACGCCGGGGCAGGCTCCTCCAATATCTGGTGGATTGGGAGGGGTACGGACCGGAAGAGCGATCCTGGGTTAATACAGAGGACATACTCGACCCCGCACTCATGACTGAGTTCCATAGGACGCACCCGGAGAAACCGGGTCCCCGACCTCGAGGAAGACCCCGGCGTCGTTCGCCTCTTCGCGTCAGGAGCCGCTCGCAGGGGGGGGGCTCTGTTACAAACGAGAATCCCGCTGTTCCTCCTGCTCACCACCAGAGGGAACCCTCTCCTGAGTATTAACCCCTGAACTACATTTCCCACATACCTGGCTCTGATTACTGTTGCACCTGACTCCCATCAGTAGACTATTTAGGTGCTCTCTCTCTCTCTCTCTTTGCGAAGTCTTGTTTACCCTGGTGTTCATTTCTGAGCGTTTTTGCCTGTGTCTGTCTGCCCGTGGATTTACTCTGGATTGTTTTTCCCTCCTTGATTCTTTGCTGCCTGCCCTGGACTATATCCTTTACTGGACTGATTTTTGTAAGCTTGCTGCCTGCCCTGACTTTATGCCTGTACCTGGATTACGATGTGCCTTATCCCTACTGTTGTGTCTGCTGGCGATTGACCCTGTTTGTACAACCAAGATTGTAATAAAACTGCAAATGGATCCTCACTCTTATGGAGCGTCATTACACTGCCAGATCAGAGGCAGTAGATGAACAGGGATGTTCTCTTGATAAGTGTGTGAATTGGACCTTTTTCCTGTCCTACTAAGTATTCAAAATGTAACAAGTACTTTTAGTGTCACTTAGATGTCATATTAAAAACTGCAAACATTTCTCTCCACCCTACGGCATAATGTGTATAATTACAGGGAATTATCTATCGGGGGGGGGGGGTGATATGAGCAATTGTGGCCCCTCATGAGTTCAGATTTTGTGGCCTCCACCCCCATCAGTTACCCATCCCTGATTTAGTATCATGTATTTTCTGAACTTGCACTGTACTACCATTTTGACTGACCTAAATCTTAATTATAATATTACATAGTTAAGCAGAACATGTACTCACCTCCCTCTTCTGAATTATAATATTACATGGGCCACTGATTATAGTTTAAGATATATGACACACTGAATTGCCAAGTAAAATGGTTCAATAACGTGATACTGGAGAACTACCAATTGGTATTGGGGGAATATTTAATGTACTGTCTCGCTTTGTGCAGCAATAACAAACAATGGATTCCAACTATTACAAAACATTCTCAAATATAAAAAATATAAAAAATCCTGCCAAAAACTATTCATCATGTTAACAAACTTTCAAAAATAGTACATACATAAAATACAATTTAAAAGGCAATCCTACCACTTCATCCTTCATCCTCATGTTCACAATGCCAGTGTCTAAATGTGAAAACGGCACATTTCTACGTTTTGTAGAACAATATGTAAAGTTCTAGCCAATGACATTAAAAGTTAAAACATTTGAAAAACAGTGATTTTCATCAAACACTATGAGATTTGCGGTGACGTGGGGAGCAAGAATATACCCTCTCCCTGGCTAGAAACTTGTTGCAGGTTTTGAAAATCACTTTAAAAAAACTTTTAATCCTATCGTGTGACGTCACTAGCTAGTTTTTAATCCAATTGGCGACAGATTTTCATGTGAATATTCTAAAATATGCATAAGGAAAATATGCCAATTTTCCCACCATTGGTGTGTTTCCGCCAATTTGACTTGTTGCTGATAAAAAGCAGTGCGTGATGCCGTACTTTTTACTTAACTTTTCATAAAAAATCTGAAGTTCAAATGTGTTTCCATCGCATTTTCAACTCTGTTGCGTTAAATAGCAAATGTGCCCACTCTGGTCTTTGCTTGTGCGCTCTAACCAGCAGATTGCAGATACAGTGCGGGTAGGCTAGCCTACATGAGATTATTATGGATAAGAACAACACTTTTTATTTGTCAAACGGCAGCCATCATGTCACCAGAATAAGACCCTATATATTTATTGGAAAGGAGGACCAAGATCACTGTGCACTTTCACCCCCCTGTGAAGTTCATCAAAACGTATTTCATCTGTAGCCTAATAAAATGCATGCTTTCCCGAGTTGTAGTGTGAGGAACACACAACATGTCATCGCTTCGATATGATGGTTATTATTTCAATATTTGCCAATAAAGGTGTTTCCACCACCATTTCTCACATAATTTATTTTACAGACACAAACCGATCCCACCCTGTCTAGCGTATTTTGTTTTGTCGACATTTGGAAAGTTTACCCAAAAATCGACTGTTTCCATCAGACCTGTCGTGACATTTTATATCAGACATCCTTTACTCACGTAAAAAGGTTGGATGGAAACCTGGTTACAGAGAAGCATTTCCCCCCCCCCCATTTTTTAAAAACCGCAGATCATAGAAACACGCTGTTTTCACATATGTAGACACTGATTTGGTGCTGGAGATAATGAATATGAGGTTTAAAAGTGGCAGAATTGCCCTTTAAGGCAACATGGCAATAATAATAATAATAATAATAATAATAATGATGTTTGAAAAAATGAATTCCATAGAATACTTTATACATTCCAAAATTGCTTCTGACCAATCATATGGCCAAATAAGGATAAACTGGCTCCACAGCACAGTTACAGTGCAAAGAGGATGTTTTGTCTTTAAAAAAATAGGAAAATCAGCGAGAGAGAAAGACGGAGAGCGACAGAGACAGACAAAGAGTTTACTTTATTAGGATCTCCAATAGCTACTGCACATGTAGTATTCCTGGGGTACACATAAAACGTACAAATACATAACAAAGTACAGAATAGTTATAGGCAAGAACAACATCAGATAGTATGTACAAAAAATAAAGAGATATATAGAAAAGACACCAAGAGACAACAAAAACACTACTTATAGAGACAGAGAGAGACACAGAGAGAGACAGAGAGAGACACAGAGAGAGACAAATAGACACACAGAGAGAGACAGAGAGAGACACAGAGAGAGACAGAGAGAGACACAGAGAGAGACAGAGAGAGACAGAGAGAGACACAGAGAGAGACAGAGAGACACACAGAGACAGAGAGAGAGACAGAGAGAGAGACAGAGAGAGACACAGAGAGAGACAGAGAGAGACACAGAGAGAGACAGAGAGACACACAGAGAGACAGAGAGAGACACAGAGAGAGACAGAGAGAGACACAGAGAGAGACAGAGAGAGACACAGAGAGAGACAGAGAGAGACACAGAGAGAGACAGAGAGAGACACAGAGAGAGACAGAGAGATACACAGAGACAGAGAGAGAGACAGAGAGAGAGACAGAGAGAGACACAGAAAAGAGAGAGAGAGACACCCAGAGAGACAGAGAGAGAAACAAGAGAGACAGAGAGAGACACAGAGAGAGACAGAGAGAACCAGAAGAGACAGAGAGAGACACAGAGAGAGACAGAGATACACACAGAGAGAGACAGAGAGAGACACAGAGAGAGACAGAGAGAGACAGAGAGAGACACAGAGAGAGCCAGAGATACACACAGAGAGAGACAAAGAAACACACAGAGAGAGACAGAGAGACACACAGAGAGAGACACAGAGACACACAGAGAGAGACACAGAGACACACAGAGAGAGACAGAGAGAGAGAGACAGAGAGAGAGACAGAGAGAGAGAGACAGAGAGAGAGACAGAGAGAACACAAGAGAGACACGAGAAGACAGAGAGAGAGACAGAGAGAGACACAGAGATAGATCGAGAGAGAGACACAGAGAGAGAGACCCTAGAAAAGAGACACAGAGAGAGAGACACAGAGAGAGAGACAGAGAGAGAGACACAGAGAGAGATACAGAGAGAGACAGAGAGAGAGAGACAGCTAGAGACACAGAGAGAGATAACACAGAGAGAGGAGACAGCAGAGAGAGACAACAGAGAGGGATAAGATAGAGATACACAAAGAGATACACAGAGAGAGAAGCACAGAGAGAGACACGGAGAGAGCAGACACAGAGAGAGCACAGAGAGATAACACAGACGATAGACAGAGAGGAGACACAAGAGAATAGAGACACAGAGAGAGAGACAGAGATAGAGACAGAGAAGAGCACAGAGAGAGAGACACCAGAAGAGAGAGATAGCACAGAGAAGAGGACCAGAGAGACAGAGAGAGAGACCAGAGAGAAGAGCACATAAAGAGAGACAGAGAGAGAGACACGATAGAGATACAGAGAGAGAGACAACAGATAGAGAGACAGAGAGAATACACAGAGAGAGACACAGAGAGAGGAGACCCAGAGAGAGAGAGACACAGAGAGAGAGAGACACAGAGAGAGAGAGACACAGAGAGAGAGAGAGAGAGAGAGAGAGAGAGAGAGAGCAGAGACAGAGAGAGAGACAGAGAGAGAGAGACAGAGAGAGAGAGACAGAGAGAGAGAGAGAGGAGAGAAAGACAGAAAGACTTCTCTTCACAAAACACCCTTCCCCGATTGGCCGACAGGTGTGTCACTCACCACCAGCTTATTCTCATAGCAGGTGGGGCCCTGCCCCTGCTGTCCCTGATTGGCTCCCCTCCCATTTCTGTCCTCCAATGGGGTGTGCTGGGCTGCCCTACAGCACAGCCTCTTCAGGAACACAGTGGCTCCTAAAGCTCCAACCAGCGTCCCCAGCACGACACAGGTGATGTACACCCCTATCGGCGACCTCCACACCTCCGGGTTCACCCTGCCTTCAATACTGGGGTCCTCCATGGTCAGCTGGTAGGATGCTGTTAGGCAGGGCTTGCTACCCCAGGAATTAATACCCTGGACTGGACAGCGGCAGGAGTAGAGGCTCAGGCTAGATTTGGAGACGGTGACCTCCAGGTGGGAGTGGTACTGCAGGGTGTGGCAGCCCTGGGGGCGCTCCCACACACAGGGGAGAGAGGAGAGATGGGGGTGGTCACAGGGTAGGAGGACCACCAGGACCTTCTTCACACGCAGCTCCTTCACCACAGGGGAACAACGAACTGAGATAGGAAGAGGGTGGGAGAGAGGACAGAGAGAGGCAGAAGCAGAGAGAGAAAGAGGAGTTGGAGGGAGAGGAAGAGGAGGAGCGAGAAGGATGGATGGAGAGAGAAAGGGAGAGATAGGAAGTATGGGAGATGGGCAAGAGGAGGAAGGGAGTTACAAGGGGTGATGAGAGAGAGTATAGGCCTATTGTCTATAAAAGTGGATCTTTGTGATTGTACTTTCCTACCTGTTTAGGACTAATAAAATACTTGAAATTGTAGGCTAACCTCGTCTCTCTCTCTCTCTCTCTCTCTCTCTCTCTCTCTCTCTCTCTCTCTCTCTCTCTCTCTCTCTCTCTCTCTCTCTCTCTCTCTCTCTCTCTCTCTCTCTCTCTCTCTCTCTCTCTCTCTCTCTCTCTCTCTCTCTCTCTCTCTCTCTCTGTGGTGACTTAAGTAACATTCTTTGATATCTCTACTACACTCATTGATTGGTGATACAGTCAACCCCTATACAGTGTATGTAATGGTGCTTTGGTACTGTTCAGAATTTTTGCACCAGACCTACATTGGAGCATGTAAATATCTGTAGCAAGTAAGAATGTATTTGAATTAGAATTGATTAAATGCACTGCATGGAGAGTGTTGCACAAAGTCAAATGTACTAACTTCATGTTGTATCTGACGACGTGTCAAACATAACTACTGGTACACAGGAAGCTACAAACAGGAAATATTAATATGATACTACAGACAAATACAACAATAGGTGTGTTTGCATGCGTGTGTGCGAGCTTGTGTGTGTGTGAGGGTGTGTGTGTGTGAGGGTGTGTGTGTGTGGGTTTCAGATAGAGAGAGACTGTGTGTGAGAGAGAGAGAGAGAGAGAGAGAGAGAGAGAGAGAGAGAGAGAGAGAGAGAGAGAGAGAGAGAGAGAGAGAGAGAGAGAGAGAGAGAGAGAGAGAGAGAATGAAAGTGGAAGTTGTGTGCATTGTAGGCTGTTGTATTGTTACAGTATGTTGTCATGGTGATGTTAAACCACTTTCTCACAAATCCAGTTTAGTTTGCTGTCACATGACAAGTCATTCCATGCCTTTAGAGGACACTGATCTTTGTGTATCTCAGCACAGTTGTCATCCCCAGTAGGACCTGCATTATCAGGCTGTTTGTCATACCAGTACCTACAGGGTTAAAAACAGTCAGATATCATGGTTAATACCAGTACCTACAGGGTTAAAAACAGTCAGATATCATGGTTAATACCAGTACCTACAGGGTTAAAAACCGTCAGATATCACAGTTAGAACATCACAATCCTAAATAATATACAGACATTTTTCCGTTTAAATTCGATGTTGTTGAGTGCTGCCATCAATGATAATAACCTGTATAGATGAAGGTTGAATGAACTGAACATTGTAGTCTTATTGTCAGAGTAGTTATGATCTCTTACTCTGTGGTCAGTGTTGGTCCGCCAGTTGGGTATGGAGGACCTAGAGTATGAATAACACAGAGAATCAGTACTAGTCCTTACACTGTGGTCAGTGTTATTAGAGCAGTAGTGTTTTACCTTGGGGTGGTCAGTGGTCTGCCGTCCACCCATTTCCAGGTCCCCTCAGTAACAGAGTCAGTCAGACCAATCCAGACTGTGTTTTTGAGGTTGAAGAGAAATGTCTGTTGTTGAGAAAGATACATATGTTTGATCATACCTTCCCCCTGCACACCCATATCTACTCTCTCTCTCTCTCTCTCTCTCTCTCTCCCCTGTTCCTTATCGCTGTTTATGATCACCAGGTCTGCTCCTCTCTCCAGACAGTCCTCTCTGCTCTCCTTCCAGATTTGAGTCTCAGTAGACAGGAAGTACCAACTGGATTCAAACTTCTGCCAGCCTTCAGAATAAGTTTGTTCTACAAGATGAAAACGTGAATTTTCTTCAACACTTAATGAAAGAATAGAAACACACGATAAGGTGTGTGGGATTAATAACAATGTATTACTGTAGGTGTACTCACTGAGATTGGTAAGCCTCCTGTTAAGAATCTCTCTCTCAGTCTGTAGCTGGTCTCTCTCTTCAGACAGGTTGTTGTAACTGGTCTGTAGCTGGTCTCTCTCTTCAGACAGGTTGTTGTAACTGGTCTGTAGCTGGTCTCTCTCTTTAGTCAGGTTGTTGTAACTGGTCTGTAGCTGGTCTCTCTCTTTAGTCAGGTTGTTGTAACTGGTCTGTAGCTGGTCTCTCTCTTTAGTCAGGTTGTTGTAACTGGTCTGTAGCTGGTCTCTCTCTTTAGTCAGGGTGTTATAACTGGTCTGTAGCTGGTCTCTCTCTTTAGTCAGGGTGTTGTAACTGGTCTGTAACTGGTCTCTCTCTTTAGTCAGGTTGTTGTATCTGGTCTGTAGCTGGTTTCTCTCTGTTGAGTCGTGATGACCAATGACTCCATCTGTAAAAGGGAAAAGTTAATCAAACATGTGACTACCACACAATTGATGATTAAGTATGATTAATTAGGCTACTTAAGTCTCAGTGACAACATACTAAACTTACAGTAGACAGACAGGCCTATGATCCCAGCCAGTAGGAGAACACACAGCAGCCCCAGACACACTGCAGCAACTCCAGAGGGTCTCTTCCACCACTGAACATGAACTGAATCACAAATTATTCAAGGAAGAACTTTGGTAATGTGTTTTACTGCATCATCCAGGATTGGAACTAATACAGTGCATTCAGAAAGTATTCCGACCCCTTCACTTTTTCCACATTTTGTTACATTACAGACTTTTTCTAAAATGGATTAAACAGTTGGTTATTTCCTCATCAATCTACACACAATACCCCATAATGACAAAGCAAAAACAGGTTTTTAGAAATTGTAAAACAAATATATTACCTTATTTATAAGTATTCAGACCCTTTACTCAGTACTTTGTTGAAGCACCTTTGGCAGTGGCAGGGAGCGGTTATTGCACAGCTATTTTCAGGTCTCTCCAGAGATGTTCAATCGGGTTCAAGTCCGAGCTCTGGCTCGGCCACTCAAGGACATTCAGAGACTTGTCCCGAAGCCACTCGTGCGTTGTCTTGGCTCTGTGCTTAGGGTCGTTGTCCTGTTGGAAGGTGAACATTTGCCCCAGTCTGAGGTCCTGAGCGCTCTGGAGCAGGTTTTCATCAAGGATCTCTCTGTACATTGCTCTGTTCATCTTTCCCTCGATCCTGACTAGTCTCCCAGACCCTGCCGCTGTAAAACATCCCCACAGCATGATGCTGCCACCACCATGCTTCACCGTAGGGATGGTGCCAGGTTTCCTTCAGACGTGACGCTTGGCATTCAGGCCAAAGAGTTCAATCTTGGTTTCATCAGACCAGAGAATCTTGTTTCTCATGGTCTAAGAGTTATTTAGGTGCATTTTGGCAAACTCCAAGCAGGCTGTTATGTGCCTTTTACTGAGGAGTGGCTTCTGTGTGGCCACTCTACCATAATGGCCTGATTGGTGGAGCGCTGCAGAGATGGTTGTCCTTCTGTAAGATTCTCCCATCTCCACATAGGAACTCTGGAGCTCTGTCAGAGTGACCATCGGGTTCTTGGTCACCTCCCTGACCAAGGCCCTTCTCCCCCGATTGCTCAGTTTGGCCGGGCGGCCAGCTCTAGAAGGATTCTTGGGGGTTCCAAACTTCTTCCATTTAAGAATGATGGAGGTCACTACGTTCTTGAGGACCCTTACTACTGCAGACATTTTTTGGTACCCTTCCCCAGATTTGTGCCTCGACACAATTCTGTCTCGGAGCTCTACGGACAATTCCTTCGACCTTATGGCTTGGTTTTTGCTCTGACATGCACTGCCAACTGTGGGACCTTATATAGACATGTTTGTGCCTTTCCAAATCATGTCCAATCAATTGAATTGACCAATGCACTCCAATCAAGTTGTAGAAACATCTCTATTTTTCCATCAACACTATTTTTTTAAGTGTCAACCACAGTGAAGGGGAAACTGTCAAATTAACACAACACTGGCCACCACGTGACCACGTGACTTGCACCAGCCTTAGTTTCTAATCTAAACATGTTTGTTTCCCACAGTGCCCATCGGTTTTAAACATATGATTCAACTGAAGTGAAAATATACTACATTATATGACTCTATATCATACTATGTGATGTATGTATGAATTCACAGGGTCCCAATTTGGGATCTGCTCAAATAAATTGGGATCCTGTTAATTCACAAATACAGCTGTCAAACAGAGGCCACATAATGGCTGTCACTCTGTGACCGGGGGTGTAGGGGGAAGTTGCCCCTAGATGCTGATCTTGGGTCAGTTTTGCATTTCCACCACACATGGTTAAGGTTAGGATTGGGGGAGGGATGGCTGATCCTAGATCTGTACCTAGAGGAAACGTCCCCCCAGAGTTTGACTGGCCACCGATGACCATATACTGTATATATTTATATATATATATTTTAGAGGACAAATCTGAGGGGGCCCAACCCCTGTTCCCCCTATGGGCATGACAACGCTGATGGTATGTTCTGTTTTGTTGTCATGTGCAATGGAATTAGTGTTAAAACCAAAAAAGCATTGAGCAATATTACACCTCCTGTCCTCTTTATCCACTATGTGTAAATCTGATAGAAACCTACAGAAGAAAAGATTCCATCTCATTAAAATTAACTCCACTAATTCTCAGGTTGTTTTCTGATTGGTTTAAAATGGAAAGCAAGTAGGCTGGCTAACCAGAGAGAGAAGAGGAAACTGTGGCTGTCGGAGGGAGGGAGGGAGGGAGGGAGTGTCACGATCGTTAGAGTGAGTGGACCAAGGCGCAGCGTAATGAGCGAACATACTTCTTTATTTGAAGAATACACTAACAAACAAAACAACAAACGATGACGTGACGTCCTAGGTTAACAACCAACACGGAACAAACCAACTGGAACAAGATCCCACAACTATTGTGGGAAAACAGCCTCTATAAATATGGCTCCCAATCAGAGACAACCAGCAACAGCTGACACTCGTTGCCTCTGATTGGGAACCACTCTGGCCAACACAGAAATACAAAACATAGAATATACACACCCTGGCTCAACATATAGAGTCCCCAGAGCCAGGGTGTGACAGTACCCCCACCTAAAGGCGCGGACTGCGACCGCGCCTAAACATAAACAAACCAGGGGAGGGCTGGGTGGGCATTCCTCCTCGGAGGCGGTTCCGGCTCCGGGCTCTCCCACCACCCTCCAATAATCCCCCCGTAGCGCCAATGGTCCGGTCTGGCCCCGCTGGCTGGAGCTGGACTGGACATCGTAGGAGCGGATTGCTTAAGCTCCGGTGTGGAGCAGCTGACCGGTACCTGACCAGGCACCGGTGACCCAGGCACGGGTTGTGCCGGACTGACGACACGCACCCCTGGCTTGGTGCGTGGAGCAGGAACGGGCCGGACCGGGCTGACGATGCGCACCCCTGGCTTGGTGCGTGGAGCAGGAACGGGCCGGACCGGGCTGACGACGCGCACCCCTGGCTTGGTGCGTGGAGCAGGAACGGGCCGGACCGGGCTGACGAAGCGCACCCCTGGCTTGGTGCGTGGAGCAGGAACGGGCCGGACCGGGCTGACGACGCGCACCCCTGGCTTGGTGCGTGGCGCAGGAACGGGCCGGACCGGGCTGACGACGCGCACCCCTGGCTTGGTGCGTGGAGCAGGAACGGGCCGGACCGGGCTGACGACTCGCACCCCTGGCTTGGTGCGTGGAGCAGGAACGGGCCGGACCGGGCTGACGACTCGCACCCCCTGGCTTGGTGCGTGGAGCAGGAACGGGCCGGACCGGGCTGACGACTCGCACCCCTGGCTTGGTGCGTGGAGCAGGAACGGGCCGGACCGGGCTGACGACTCGCACCCCTGGCTTGGTGCGTGGAGCAGGAACGGGCCGGACCGGGCTGACGACGCGCACCCCTGGCTTGGTGCGTGGAGCAGGAACAGGCCGGACCGGGCTGGCGACGCACACTGTAGGCTTGGTGCGAGGGGCAGGAACAGGCCGGGCCGGGCTGGCGACGCGCACCGTAGGCTTGGTGCGAGTGGCAGGAACAGGCCGGGCCGGGCTGGCGACGTGCACCGTAGGCTTGGTGCGAGTGGCAGGAACAGGCCGGGCCGGGCTGGCGACGCGCACCGTAGGCTTGGTGCGAGGAGCAGGAACAGGCCGGGCCGGGCTGGCGACGCGCACCGTAGGCTTGGTGCGAGTGGCAGGAACAGGCCGGGCCGGGCTGGCGACGCGCACCGTAGGCTTGGTGCGAGTGGCAGGAACAGGCCGGGCTGGGCTGGTGATGCGCACCGTAGGCTTGGTGCGAGGAGCAGGAACAGGCCGGGCCGGACTGGCGATGCGCACCGTAGGCTTGGTGCGAGGAGCAGGAATAGGCCGGGCCGTACTGGGAACACACACCACTGGCCTTAAACGGGGATCAGGAACGGTCCGGACCGGACTGGCAATACACCTCAGTACCTCTCGCCGTGCCTCTACAACTTCCTTCCCTCCTCTCGCCAATGGCTCCCGTAACCCGGTGGCCTTCTCTCCTCGTCTCCCATTTTGCCCTGTGGCAGCCTCCTGCTGCCCAGTCGCCCATGCCGTGTGCCCCCCCCTAAAAAATGTCTGGGGTTGCCTCTCGTCCATCCGACGACGACACTGTTGACGCCGTTGCTCCTCTCTCGCCAGGGCCTTAATCTTAGCCCATGGCCCTTTGCCCCTGAGCATGTCCTCCCAGGACCACGATTTGCCCACCTGGGCCATCGCCAACCTCTCCAGCTCCTTTCCCGGCGCTTCCTCCCATGTCCAGGCCGCCTGCTCCTGGACACGCTGCTTGGTCCTGGTATGGTGGGATCTTCTGTCACGATCGTTAGAGTGAGTGGACCAAGGCGCAGCGTGATGAGCGAACATACTTATTTATTTGAAGAATACACGAACAAACAAAACAACAAACGATGACGTGACGTCCTAGGTTAACAACCAACACGGAACAAACCAACTGGAACAAGATCCCACAACTATTGTGGGAAAACAGCCTCTATAAATATGGCTCCCAATCAGAGACAACCAGCAACAGCTGACACTCGTTGCCTCTGATTGGGAACCACTCTGGCCAACACAGAAATACAAAACATAGAATATACACACCCTGGCTCAACATATAGAGTCCCCAGAGCCAGGGTGTGAATGGGAGGGAGGGAGGGAGGGAGGGAGGGAGGGAGGGAGGGAGGGAGGGAGGGAGGGAGGGAGGGAGGGAGGGAGAGCATAGCATATCATGATTAGTATGTGGTCCTCTGTAGCTCAGCTGGTAGAGCACGGCGCTTGTAACGCCAGGGTAGTGGGTTCGATCCCCGGGACCACCCATATGTAAAAATGTATGCACACATGACTGTAAGTCGCTTTGGATAAAAGCGTCTGCTAAATGGCATATTATTATTAGTAGTTTCCTGTGTCTGTAAGGTCAGAGCTCAGTACCGCTCAATCTATCAACCACAACCAGGAGAGAGCTGTCTCGTTCCAGGCCAACTATATTGCAGTTGAGTTGCATGCAGCAACAAATGGGCATCAGATTAGTATACCACATGATGTGATTACCTGATATGTTAAACACCAATCCAGGAGTTGTGAGATCTGGCAGGCGACTTCAATGTAGTCAACCTGGAACGTGGCCAATGTCATGAGTGGTGTTGGAGAAGAGAGGGGGCGGGACTTGGTAATGAAGGAAGCTTTCAGCAGCCATCGTGTTGACTATAAACAATTGGTTGATTGGTTTGGTCTCCTCTACATGTTGTTTTACTACAGGTGCTGTTGACAATAAAATTTGATTTGATTTGATTTGACTAGCAAAGACAAAAGACGCCATAGGGTGGCAGTGAACTGTCATAACGTACTGTCTATCCACTGGTTACTATGACACTAACTGTTACTTTGACACTACTATAAAACCCAATATCTCTAAGACATGGAAATGATCATGAATATATTATACAGCAATGATGACACCTGCATTGTTACATCTGGGAAACTGAATGACATTTATCTTTGTCAGGTTGTTAGTGGTGTGGTTTGCACCAAAGTCAGTCTCATGAAGTGTGTGTCACACCTTCAAGAGGGCCTCAAACTTTAGTGTGGGTTCTGAGGGGGAAAATATCAGAAAAAGATACATGTCAGTGGGAAAGAGATAAACAGTAGTCAGATCTCACCCTGATGACTAGTATCATTCCACATTTTGATATATTTTATGAAAATTTTAATGGCCAATTAAGATTTTCAAATGTGTTCTATTAAAATTATGACACTTGGTTCTGCCACAAAATTGAAAACTAAAACGTATTACTGAAAAATCGCTGGAACTCCAGGGACGTCACTACCAGTCACACAACCTGAGAGATTGTGACCATGACAACTGACTGACCACACTGTGCAGTGGTTGACTTGGGGTTGAGGGGAGTGTCAGAAAGACAGAAAGGGGGAACGTTAAGTCTTTCTCAGCAGCATCACTTTTAGTTGGAAATGGGCCTGTGGTGAACCAAGGTAGAGCTGTGTACATCCTCGTGTGTGTGTGTGTGTGTGTGAGTGTGTGTGTATGTGTGTGTGTGTGTGTGTGTGTGTACGTGTGCAGACGTGACAATCTGCATGACTTTGTGTACGTATTATCTTGGTGCTTCAGAGTGGGAACAAGATTTGTGGTCATGTCTGCTTGTAAAGTCAGATCTCTGACCAGGTATAAGTAGATCTTATCAGACAGCCTGCTAACACAAGTCCTGAAGCTGAACAATACAAAACAACCTCTATTGTGCTCCAGTCTGGTAAGTTCAACTATCAGATCATTATAAGCTATTTTTGTAATGAATATAATGATTGCCAGTATATTTATGTTCACTATCAGCTCCTATATGGTGCTTTTGCAATTTTAGTCCCAATTTTGTTTTATTAAAAGTGAATAATATCAAAGCTATGTTTTATCATGTTGGGTATTGTTATGCTGATTGGTTTGGTCTCCTCTACATGTTGTTTTACTACAGGTGCTGTTGAAGTCATGAGGAGAGACAACATCCTAACCTTTGCAGTGCTGTGTGTCTTCCATGCTTGGACTCTGGGTGTGGACTCCAAGATGGTAAGTATCTCTCAATATGTAACACAGAACTAGAAGATTACTGTGGAAGTGTTTTTGCACATAGGCCTTTTCAACATTGCTCACAATCCAGAATCAACTTTTATTTGTTGTATAGAACTATATGATTTTGAGATGAGAACCTTGTTATTAAAGGGTATTAATAGCATATAGTCGTGCTATGATTAATTTGAGCACAAGATCACTACAGTTAAACATTTTAATAAAACCATTCCTCTTGTTATTTTGGCTGTTTTTCCCTCCATATTCTCTGAAGGTTCATCTCCATCAGCCTGGTCTCAATTCCCCCAAACCCTTAGACATGGTCCCTTACTCTGTTGACGACATGTATAACGGCTGCACTGAACAAATGTACAACAAGGTGCGGAAGGAATATCTTCCAAATGAAAACAGAAATGTAGCGATCTTCAATAAATCCTGGAAACAGGCAGAAGGATGTGCAACAAAAGTGAAGAACCGATTCCAAAAGGACAAGTCCAAGTACAATTCTAAAGATAAACTTACACATGATCATATCAAGGCTATCTGTGCTTACACAGGAGGTCAAAGTAAGATGTACCCAGTGTTCAACGAAGCAGTCCGGACCAATAGAACAGAGTACACCACCTCCTTCCAATTCCACTCCCTGCATTTCCTGCTGACTGACGCCATTCACCTCCTGAAACTAAACCAACAGACCTGTCACACCACATACCGGAGAACCAACATGGAGTTTGGAGGTGAAGTTAACCAACTAATCCGATTCGGCTTCTTTGCCTCAAGCTCTCTCAACAAGGGAATTAGTGAAAAATTCGGAAATAAATCCTGCTTTAATATAACTACATGTTCAGGAGCTTTTCTCAAGTCCTACCCAGTGCTGGGAGACTACGAGAAGGAGGTGTTGATTCCACCTTTTGAGATGTTCAAAATTACCAAAAAGGAAAATGGCCAGAAGGTTTTTAACTGTGAAACTCTCTACAAACTGGAGAGTGTAGGGCTCCAGAGCAATCTGAATTGTAAAGCTGTATAGGAAAAATACAGCAGTCAACATGTCTGTTAGTCAGTGAAACTCTCTCTCATTCAGAGAGTGAAATGAAACAGGCTGGGCTACTTTTGCTTGCTTGTTTCCCTGTGGATTTCCCCATAACTGTAGACCTGTGTTATATACTGTATGTTCACATCGTTCTTCTTCTGCGAGGCCCTTTGCTCCATAATGTAATGCCCACACAGGGAGAAATCTAATATAGAATTTCTGCTACCAACAACTTCATCATAGGTTACATACAAACCTGGATTCAAATACTGTTTGAAACATTTTCATATACTTTATTTGCATTTAATTTAGCTTGCATGTTGCATTGAAACCAATAGAACAGTCCCCAAAGTGCAAACCCTGCCCACCTGGCATTCCACCCAGGTTAAAGAAAATTATCAAAGTATTAGAAAGATTTCAAATAGTATTTGAACCCAGGTCATATATAGCATTTACTGTAACTATATTTACTATAGCAATTACTGTAACTATATTTACTGTAACTATATTTGCTGTAGAATTTACTGTAACTATATTTACTGTAGCATTTACTGTAACTATATTTACTGTATTATTTACTGTAACTATATTTACTGTAGCATTTACTGTAACTGTGCCTACATAGAAAAATGTATTCAGTAATGTGGTGTAATGTAGAGTTAATTGTGTTTTTATCATATATTTTGAGCACTTGCCCTGTAGCATTAATAAAGCATCACTGAGCACAATTAAAGCAGTTCAATGTGATTGAAAGATCACCGGCAACAAGTGATTACATTATGCATTCTACACAACTACCAGAAGGGTGCAGCATTATGCAGAAAACAGACCAACTATTTTCAGTTACCTCTCTCTCTACATCAGTGGTCACCACCCCTGGTCCTGGAGAGCTACAGATGCAGGCTATTGCTCCAGCCCAGCAATAAAAACACTACATTCAGCGTATCATCAACTTATCATCAAGGCCATAAAGCCACAGTCTCCTTTAAAAATGAATACCATCTATGATAGCAAATGCATGCTATGAGATTTTAAGATTTAAAAAGCACTAGGGACATGACAGTATCTGTAGTGGTCAGGAAATGACATTCCATTACTTCAGGGTTGTGTTGAATGGGCCCAGGGCCTGCTGTTTGTGGTATTGTATTGGTCACTACAGATACGGTCATGTCCCTAGTGCTTTTTAAATCTTAAAATCTCATAGCATGCATTTGCTATCATAGATGGTATACATTTTTTAAGAAGACTGGGGTGTTAAAGGCCTTGATGTGAAGAGTAGTATGGTAATGATCCTATCCAGTAGGACTTTATCAAGGTGAGCTACAAGCCTTGTGTCAATACACCTGTCCAGGCAGGAGGATCAGTAAGCCTCTGATGTCCACAGAAAGACAGAGGAATGAGACCAACGTATGTTCTAAAACAAACTAGTAAAAACAGCCAATGGCAGACAGGCACAGGAGTTTGTGGGGTATGAACGAGACTTACACTGAAGTGGCACATTAGTTGTAAATGCAAATTGGCATGCACGTCATTGGTCCACAACCCTGGTCCTGGACTGCACCTGATTAAGCACTGAACAAACAGTGAATAAGTCTGACATTGTTCAAGTAGTATGAAGGGGATCATGGCCATGAATGAGTGAGACAGAAGATATACCCCAGTTAAACAACGCCTAGTGACATTAGAATCACAATTAGTTGTTCATACAGTACTTTTTTGTAATTGGGCATAGGTGAGTGTCTAGAAGCACTGTAAGTTAAAACATCAGATTCATTTGTAGACGGTCAACACTCAAAAAAGAGATTTAAAAGTTATTTTCATGTTATTTTATTAATTTAAAGGCAACGAGCTAAAATAAACAACGTTGAGTACTTACAACAGTAGAAGCTCAGCTACAATACAGTATAAAACTGGTCCTACTCTGTATAGAGTTATGGTGTAAAGAAGATGTCAAGTGGCATGTGAATGTCAGTCTTCCATCTTCCTTGGGCAACACTCAATTTCCCAATAAGGGCAGAGGAATGAGACCAACAACTGTTTAAAACAGGGGTGTCAAACTCATTTTAGCTCAGGGGCCACATGGAGGAAAATATATTCCCAAGTGGGCCGGACCGAAAAAATCATGGTATATATAACTTAAAAACAACAACTTCAGATTGTTTTCTTTGTTTTAATATGATCAACATACAACATAAAGCTGGAGCCTGAGGACAGTGTGTCCAAAATAGTACAAGCACAACATCACTATTAATCATAAAACACCTCAAGTTTATTTGAAAATTCTAAAGAAAAAGAACACACAAACACACAATGCCTCAGTGATTAACAGAACTGTTTCACAGATCACAGAACTATATCAGGGTGTCATTTCTCAGGCAGAAATGTAGATAAAAATAATGAAATCCTGTTCCCCAAACAAGTGCAAGAACCACAGAGTCAAGAATAGGTTAAATATACAAATAAAATAAAATCAATTAAAAACAATAGCACATCAACATAAAAACATATAAACATAAATCTGAAAGCGTTGCTCAAACTCCCGTAACAGTCCAGTTATTTTATCTTTGAACCGCTTCATGTCTGCCACATGTTGGGTCGCGCACACATTTTTCAGACAGGGGAAGTGAGCTGCATCACCACCGGCAAGTTGCGTCTCCCACAATGACAGCTTCAACTTGAAAGAACGTATGCTGTCATAATACTGCGTGACAACTTTGTTGCGCCCTTGCAGCTGTTTGTTCAAGTTATTCAGGTGCTCTGTAACATCCACCATAAATGCAAGGTCCGGCATCCATTCTGCGGAATGAAATTCTAACACTGGTTTGCCCTTTTCTTCCATGAACTGTTCAATTTCTTCTCGTAAATCAAAGAAACGCCTCAGCACAGCACCTCGGCTTAACCATTTTACCTCAGTGTGGTATGGCAGGCCATAGATGTGGTCTTTCTCTCTGAGAAGGCTGTCAAACTGACGGTGATTCAGGCTTCTGGATCGGATGAAATTAACAGTTTGGATGACCACCTTCATGACGTTATCCATCTTTAATGACTTGCAACACAAAGCCTCCTGGTGCAAAATACAGTGAAAAGTCAAAAAATCACGTCCTCCATTTGCAGATTGCACTTTCTCTCTGAACTTTGTCACAACGCCTGCTTTTTTCCCGATCATTGAGGGCGCACCATCTGTAGCCAGGCTGACAGCGCGGGACCAGTTCACTCCGACCCTGTCCAGCGCGCCGACGAGTGCGGTAAAAATATCAGCTGCTGTCGTTGTATCTGTCATCGGCACCAACTCCACGAACTCCTCGGTGACGGTCAATGTGTCATCAACTCCGCGGATGAAAAAATGGCCAGTTGTGCAACATCTGTAATGTCCGTGCTTTCATCAATTGCAACCGAAAACGCAATAAATGACTTTACTTTTTGCTTCAACTGGCTGTCCAAATCCACTGAAAGATCGGAAATCCTGTCTGCAACTGTGTTTCTTGTCAGGCTGATATTTGCAAAAGCCTGCCGCTTTTCAGGGCACACAATCTCCGCTGCCTTCATCATGCATGTTTTTACAAATTCACCCTCACTAAATGGTTTTGAAGCCACTGCGATTTCATTAGCAATGAGGTAGCTAGCTTTCACTGCAGCGTCACTGATGTCTCGGCTGTGAGTAAACACAGACTGCTGTTTCTTCAGACCCGCCAACAGTTCATTCACCTTCTCTCATCTCCGCTGTCCTTGAAAGTTGTCATATTTGTCGGCATGAAGACGCACATAGAGGCGACGAAGGTTATATTCTTTCAGCACTGCAACATGCTCTGAACACACCAAACATACAGCTTTCCCATTCAATTCCGTGATTAAATAGGATGACCATTTTTTTTGGAACACTCTGCACTCTGCGTCCACTTTTCTCTTTTTTGACAGAGACATATTGGGGCAATGAGGGTGCCAAAGCACATAATGTTAAAAGTAGAAGCCGTAATAAATATCGCGGGCAAAACAAAGTAGCTCATTGGCTGCACGTGCTTGACCTACTTGCTCTGCCCCGGTACAAACAGTTTGCTTGCTTAACACAATTGCTATTGCGCCATCCAGTGGACGCAATTGGAACAGCAGTTTATTTTATTGAAAAATAGCAGCGCATTTTTATACCCCAAAAAAAAAAAAAAAAAAAATATATATATTTTTTTTTTTTTTAATCACCTCGCGGGCCGGATTAAACCCGTTTGCGGGCCGGATCCGGCCCGCGGGCCGTATGTTTGACACCCCTGGTTTAAAACCATCTAGTAAAACCAGCCAATAGGAGACCGGCACGAGAGGCTGTGATGTATGATATTAAACTGACACGTGTGCTCTAGTAGAGTAGCATTAGTCTATGCAAATCAGTGGAGAACGCTAAGAGGAGAACGCCTCATAATAATGTCCATAACGGAACCAATGGAATGGCATCAGACACCTGGAAACCATGGAAACCATGTGTTTGATGCATTTGATCCTATTCCTCTGATTCTGCTCCAGTCATTCCCATGAGTCTATTCTCCCCAATAAAGATGCCCCCAACCTCTTGTGATGCAAATGGTAAGAGACAGGAGAAAACACAGCCCCGAGACACTGGAATATTTTGGGATCAATAAAGCATCGCTGAGCATGATTAAAGCAGTTTAATGGTATTCAAAGACCACGGCAGATAAGAATGATTACATTATTCATTCTCCAAAACTAACAGAGGGGAGCAGAATTTCAGACATTAAACCGACCAACCATTTTCAGCTACCTCCTTCTCTCTCCCCTGAGAGCTACCCTATTGCTCCTAACCAGCAATAAAAACACAAAAATTAATCAACGTATCATCAAGCCACAGTCTTCTTTAAAATGTGCACACCAAAGAGTGAGTGGGCCACCACATATTTTAAACAACAGAGCAAATGCATCCCATTACATTTTAACTTTAAAATAGCACCTGGGACATTAGCATCTGCATTGCTAAAAGAATGACATTCCATTACATCAGGGGTGTCTTTAACGGGCCCAGGGCTGTTTGACACCCCTGAATTACATGTTATTACACATTATTATGTTATGTATTTTTATTTTTTATTTTTTTGGTCTCCCATAAAATAATTAAAATAAACTGCCACAGCCAATGGAGGAATACGTCCTTAGTTTTTTGGTCATGATACTCAAACTCATTAGCTACGGACATAACACTGTTCAAAGTTTGTCACATTTGTTGAAGCCATTCACTCAAATTGACTTAAAGTATGATATCCATGCTCAGACATTTAAAGAGCGAGGGTGATACAAGAGGTTGGGTATTTGAATTGGGAGGATTTAAGGGGGGAGAAGAGGGTGGAATGAGGGTGGTATTGATTGGGAGGATTTAAGGGGGGAGAGGGTGAACGAGGTGGTATTGAAGTGGGAGGATTTAAGGGGGAGAGAGGGTTGACAAGGGGTGGTATTGATTTGGGAGGATGTTAAGGGGCAAGGGTGAACAGGGTGGTATTGAATTGGAGGATTTAAGGGGGAGGAGGGGGAACGAGGGTGGTATTGAATGGAGGAGTTAAGGGGGAGAGAGGGTGAAACGAGGGTGGTATTTGAATTAGGGAAGGATTTAAGGGAGGAGAGAGGCGTGAATGAGGGGGAGAGAGGGTGAACGAGGGTGGTATTGAATTGGGAGGATGTAAGGGGGAGAGAGGGTGAACGAGGGTGGTATTGAATTGGGAGGATGTAAGGGTGAGAGAGGGTGAACGAGGGTGGTATTGAATTGGGAGGATGTAAGGGGAGAGAGGGTGAACGAGGGTGGTATTGAATTGGGAGGATGTAAGGGGGAGAGAGGGTGAACAAGGGTGGTATTGAATTGGGAGGATGTAAGGTTGAGAGAGGGTGAACGAGGGTGGTATTGAATTGGGAGGATGTAAGGGGGAGAGAGGGTGAACGAGGGTGGTATTGAATTGGGAGGATGTAAGGGGGGTATGTGTCTACATTTACTGTAACTATGACTACATGGAATAATATATTCTCTAATGTGGTGTAATTTAGAGTTAATTATGTTTTTATAATATATTTTCAGCACTTGCATTCATGACATTACCCTGAAGAAGGCACAGTGATGCCGAATCGTTGGTGGTTTCTTACCCAATAAATGACTGGGAGTTTATACATAGAGTGTGTGACTCTCTTTGTTTTTATAGTTTACAGTTTATTCCCCGTTAGTCAGCACCTCTACACTAAATAATGTTCTCTGGGTGTGCGCCAGCTCATGCTTTTTACTAGACTTGAACTATAGTAATAATATGCCATTTAGCAGACGCTTTTATCCAAAGCGACTTACAGTCATGCGTGCATACATTTTTGTGTATGGGTGGTCCCGGGGATCGAACCCACTACCCTGGCGTTACAAGCGCCGTGCTCTACCAGCAGAGCTACAGAGAGCCACTTTACGGCCTTGATGATAATATAGCATCAATAAAGCATTACTGAGCACGATTAAAGCAGTTCAATGTGATTCAATGACCACTGGCGACAAGCGATTACATTGTGCATTTTACACAACTACCAGAAGGGTGCAGCATTTCATGCAGAAAACAGACTGACTATTTTCAGCTACCTCTCTCTCTCCATCAGTGGTCACCACCCCTGGTCCTGGAGAGCTACAGATGCAGGCTATTGTTCCAGCCCAGCAATAAAAACACTACATTCAGCGTATCATCAACGTATCGTCAAGGCCGTAAAGCCACACTCTCCTTTAAAAGTGTATACCAGCTAAGATTGAATGGGCCACCAACAACAATGTAGAGCAAATGCATGCTATGAGATTTTCACATTGAACTTCAAATTAAATCAAAATGTATTGGTTGCGTACACAGATTTGCAAATGTTATCTCAGGTGCAGCGAAATGCTTGTGTTTCTGGTTCCAACAGTGCAGTAATACCTAACAATACAAAACCATATGCACATAATCCTAAATCAAAATAAAGAAATTAAGAAAATAAATATAAGATTGAGATTTACAGTTGCATTTGCAACCAAATTACTTTCTTATGCAAATTCAATAATAGTTGCACAAATAGGGGTGACAGTGAGCAGTGAACAAAATAACCATAGATGGGAAGTTGACAATAACTTATTAGTAGCATAAATACATTGTATTTCTGTGGTTGCAGCCCTAAAAAAATGTAATTTAATTTAATCAAATTAAACAGATCCAATGAGTTACCACCCGTAGAGCGGGATACCTCTATGGTTCATTAATTAATGTAAGAAAACTGTTATCGAAATACTACTCTTTTCAAATTACACCAATTCTTGCTTTGTAGCACCTACAGACTGTAGTATTAAAGGAGGACTGAGTAAGGCCAAAATGTCACAATACAATTTAATGATTTTTCAATAAGTCATGAAAAATAATTCATGAGGAAGTTTAAAATCCTATAAATGTGTTTTAACATCCAAAGAGTGTGCCACTTTACCAACCCAACCGTGGTGGAAAATAATTCATGAATCAGTTACGAGTGCTTATAAACGCTAATGTGTCTTCTCTGATTGTACCCTATACATGTATAAGTATGTGTACACATAAAGGCTTCATAACATAAATATATGTGGAACAGAGACATTTAGCAGAGACAAAGTTGCTTGCTTATAACAGTTCTTGTGGAATGGGTGTTATAATGTTTATGTCATTACTGCATAAGACAACATAAAACTGCGTAGGCCTATAAAGAGTATATGATAATAGGGCTTTATGACTCTTTATGTCACGCATATAAAGGCTTATGACTCTTTATGTCGCATATAAAGGCTTTATGAATGCATTATGAATAATAACACTGTAGTGTTACCATTGTCTCTTCCCCTTTCTGAAGATGTATCCCTTACTGAATCGTCTCAATTCCCACCCAATACCACTTGACATGGCCCCTGACTCTTTTCGATGACTCCTACGAGGGCTGAAGAGAGAATATCTTCTGTGAGGTGACAAACAAATTCCTACCAGAGGAGAAAAATACTGACAGAAATTTCAAAGACGCTTGGGGCAACGCTATGAAATTGTATGACAACAACCATACATCTAACATTGAACAACTGTCATGTGTATGTGAATCCACAATGGAGGATTTACGAGCCATGCAATGAGGCGACTCTTACCCTAGGGAAGAGCTACAAGACACATTTTAAGTATCACTCCTTGCATTTCCTGTTGCCTGAGGCCTTGTGTATTCTTAATGAAGCCCAGGGAAAACAGTGTGTAAAAAGCTTCCGTGGAGCCGCTGTAGCTTGCCAAGGAGAAAAAGATGACATAATGCGATTTGGCCAATTTGCTTCATCAACTACTGACGAGGATGTGGCTAAAACATTTGCAGATTGGAAGAATTGTTTTAAGGTCAATACCTGCTTTGGTGCTTCCCTGGAAAGTGAAAGCTGAAAAGGAGGTGTTGATTCCCCCATATGAGGTTTTCAAAATTGCTAAGGTGACCAAGAATAAAGTATTGGAAGAGAAGGACAAAAATATTAAGAGTGAATGTGAGATTGTCTATGAACTAGAGAGCACAAAAACAACCAAAAGTGACTGGAATTGCCATATTGTCGAAAATGACAAAAACAATGAAGAAAATGTGTAACCCCATGTAACACGTGACATGTTACATTTCTTGGTCGAGTTCCAGGCCAAATTCATTGCAGACGTTGCATTGCATCAACCAATGGTCGGTGCCACCTCTTCGACTGCAGTCGGGCATTAGATTGCTATAACACATAATCTGTTTAGCTGATACGTTAAACACCTACCCAATCGTTGTGAGATCTGGCAGGCGTCTGTGATGTAGTCACCATCCATCTTTACCCAGGTTCATGTGTGTTTCCAGGTGCAGCTTATTGCAATCAAGGGCGGGGCTTGGCTGCAAAATACCAGGCTGTTGGGTCAGTCTTGTTCTCCCCACGCTGTGTGAAGATTGGTGTGCCTTGTGAGGATGGAAGTGGTGACAGTCCTTGAATTAATTTGTAAGTATCTGGGGGGCGGTTTTAGGGAAACACCCCCTAAATGCAGTGGTGGAAAAAGTACCCAATTGTCATACTTGAGTAAAAGTAAAGATACGTTAATAGAAAATGACTAAAGTAATAGTGAAAGTCACCCAGTAAAATACTACTTAAGTAAAAGTCTAAAAGTATATTTAAAACCAAATTCTTTTAAAGTATCAAAAGTAAAAGTATTAATAATTTCAAATTCAATATATTAAGCAAACCAGACGGCACCATTTTCTTGTTTTTTTTAATGTATTGATAGCCAGGGGCACACTCCAACACAGACATACTTTAAAAACCGCAGATCATAGAAACACGCTGTTTTCACATATGTAGACACTGATTTGGTGCTGGAGATAATGAATATGAGGTTTAAAAGTGGCAGAATTGCCCTTTAAGGCAACATGGCAATAATAATAATAATAATAATAATAATAATAATAATAATAATAATAATAATAATAATA